GTTAGCTTAGCGGGGCCAGAGCTAAGCATGTGTGGAGCAAACAGCCAGTTCAGAGACCAGCTGGGTAGAAACAAGCATGGAGGATCAGAGCACGTTACACGTGTGTCTCCTCGACAGATCAATCTGAGGCAGGAGTGTCGATATGTTTCATTTTCAGTTTGAAACTGATGGTGACTGTTCACATGTTGGAGGTTTCAACAGCTGTTCTATAAAAATGTGACGGCTCAGCTGGAGTGTGGGATTTATCCAACGAAGGGAAACAAACCACGTAAATCTGAAACATGAAATTTGTGTGAATTTTATTTACTGTGAGTTTGTGAAGCTACTCTCAGCCACTCGTGGACCACACAAGCAGTGTCAGCAAAACCCCAAATTTCACTTAGTGGCAGCTGACACACACGTTTAAACGACTCATTAAAGAGCTCGACCCAGGCCGTTTATACAGATGTTTCTACAACATCTGCCACTGGCCTTCAAAATAAAAGAACACTTTTAGCCACACCAGGTGCAACGACACAGGCCCTGTTTTAGGATTAAATCATCCTTCTTTCTTCACCTTTTTCTATGCAAAGCTCCCACGAAATCATAGTTAAAAAGATACAAACAAAAGATCGAATCCCGTCACTTCCTGTTTTCGAAAATGCCAGGCTAATGTTTCCTGTTGTTCATTTAACCTGCTCGTGTGACGGCAGGGCCCACCGTGCTGGAGGTGTTCAACACTCTGCTCAAACACCTGAGGATGAGCGTGGACTTTGAGCTGGGCGACAGCTCGAGGAGGAACTCCGCCTCCAGCGTTTCGTCCGTCCGCGGTAAAGAGAGCGAGGAGCGGATCGTCCAGAACGCCATCATCCAGACCATCGGTACGAGCTCCTCTATTACTCCAGAGTGTGTTTGTGTTAATGAACATGTGCCTGCATGTGTTAGTGAGTTCTGACTCATCTTTGTCTCTCGTGGCGTCGCCGCCAGGCTTCTTCGGTGGAAATCTGCCAGACTACCAGCGAGCTGAAGTCATGATGTTCATCATGGGCAAAGTGCCAGTGTACGGGACGCCCTGCCACGCCTTGGACACAGTCAAGATTGGGTGAGTCACACGTTCATTATCCAGAGACCCGGAGGTTCCCTCGTAGAGCTGCAGCCAGTCAGCTCGCAGCTCTGGAACGCCGCCGCTAACGCTGCGTGCAGCTAAGACGCCGCTCGTCACAAATGGAGCCGTGCTCACAGGACCGTACTGTCAGGAGACTTCTCTGCAGCTGGATGATGATGATGATGATGGTGACGATGAGTGGATTTTACTGTCACGGCACATTTAAACTGTCCTGAACATCAACTCCATGCTTGTGTCAATGAAACGATATGATTGGCTGATACGTTTCGTGCTTTTAAAATCATTTTTATATTATATTTTATCCTCAGAGACCAAAGGGCAGTCATTAGGTCAAAACATCGCCTCTCAGTACTTTGACTCTGTTTGTGGTCCCTCAGCAGCTGTGAGGTTTGGACTGAACCGTTATATTCTGGTTTCACGAGTTAAAGCTGATTTTTAGCTCAGCGCTGTAGCGTGGAACACTGGAAGCAGTTTCTAAAGAATAAGCTCGCAATTTTTTTTCTCTCTTCATCAAATCTTTCTCCTAATCTGTCCTCACTTCACCTCCTGGACACCC